TGTGACGAGATTTCGTTGGTCACTGATACAGATGAGCTGATCCGGTAGGTGAAGCGATCAAAGCGCCAAATCATATCACCCCCTTATTGTAAGACAACGCACCAACGTAGACCAGTTCTGAAGCGACAATTCGCATTCGGGTAGCAAGAAACGCTCCCCAAACATACTGAATTTTCGCGTCAATGTGACCGTAGAACCAGAACTTTTGTCAGCGTCTTTACTTAACTGGACTATGTCATCTGCGTACTCTCAACTTACTAAAGAGTCTATTGTGAAAAGAGTCAAACTAAAAGAGGGAGACTTTCAGTCACGCTCATCGAATCGCTACACAATTGAAGTGTCTGTTGTCGAAAGGAGGTTTCAATTTAAGTGGGTCAGCAATGATCTTTCGTTGTTCTAGGTCAGTGCATATCGAAGTGGCTAACACGTTAAACACCGATTCCCTCTTATGTGCCTTTAATCCACTCATTGCACGGAGAGGATGTTCAAAACATGTATGGCGCTGAAGATGACTTGAAAGAAGCTAAGGCTGCATGGATGGCTACGAACCTCACAACACGTGAATGAAACGTGATAGTCAACTCCCCTAGGCCCAGTCACAGAGCAAAGCGGGAAAGAATCATCCAAACAATCAAAAGATTCTGATGATTACTTTAGAAGACCAGACGATAACGAATGAGATAATACACACGACACTAGTTGAAAATGACAGAGAAATTAACGACCATCCCTACGAAAGAACCAGCAGCACATCAACATAATCCGTCGTTACTTACTCAAAACACACTGCTCCTTCCGAAGGGCAACGAGTTAACTGATGCGGAAGACACTAACCTTACTACCAAATATAACAAATGGTCACAGAATCAAAAACTACATAATCTCCTTCACAAAAAGTAGCCGGAATTTTATCCTCCAACACCCATCAACATCGCAGTAAGGGCTGAAAATGAACCTGAAAGAAGACAGTTTACTTCTATTCGAGCTAGATTGTCCACGAGGACACTGATGAAAGGCAGTCTTCCTAAGTCCAAGGGAAGACCTTAGCCAACCCTCAGAAAGTGGCTAGAAAGGGTCAATCGATCTAATTAGCTTCTTCAGAATTAATGGATGCATGCAAACGTATTCCTGCAGGCTCTGGGAAAAATGAGGAGTGCACTCAACTCAAATGCAGACTGACAACAAATCTATGCAATAGCCACGAAAAGTGGTGGGTAGCAAAGGCTAAAGGGACGCAAAAGGCAGCAGCGACAAGTAACAGTAGACACTTGTTTACCCTAATCAAGGAAACTGGGGTGAAAAAGTCAGTCTTCAGTGGGACTATAGAAGAGAAGGATAGATCTGCGATTGACTCCCAGGATGAAGACTTGGATGATGGGCGGAACACTTCGAGGAACAGTTCGATAGGCTTCCAGCTACTATTCCTTCGCCCAACATCTGGTCGAATCCTGAATGGAACATCGAGATAGAACTCCGAACACATACGGAAGTCAAGATAGTAGAAAGTCACTTGAAACAAGAAAAACCAGTACAGCAAGACGGACTAGTACTAAAGGTATTTGAAGACGGTGACAGAGGATTATTGGTCAGATTAACTGAAGCGTTAGCTAGTGTGTAGAAGTCAAACATGATCCCCTCTGACTGGTCTCGATCACCGATTGTCCCAGTCTTGAAGGGAGGCGAGAAGTCCTCTTGTGATAGCCACAAAGGAATGAGCCTGACGAACAGTGTCAAAGATTCTAGGTTCTATAATCACTAGAGCACTGAATGGAGGTATGGAACAGCAAACCCAAGAGAACTAGGCAAGATTCAGACCTGGCCAATGGTGTATCAACCAAGTATTCACACGCCGCTAGGTTCTGGAACACAGACACGCTAACGGACAGCGGACAATAGCTGTATTTTTCGACCTGGGGGTGGCATTCCACTTCGTCTTTCGAGAGGTCTCTGAATGAAAGGGGTGCCGAGTAAGTACATCACTCCGTTAGAGGCTCGATACTCAAACACAGGTGGATGTTTTACAGCTAATGGTGAGTTGTCAGGTGAGCTGCGTACGTCAAGTGGTGTCCATCAAGAACACCCACTCATCCCATTCTTCTTCAACTTTACCACTGACTCACTCATGAAGGTCTTCCTCTGTGTTTAGCCACACTAGGACTACTCTTGTCACAGAAGACTGGTTAGTAGACCTAGATATTGCAGATGAAATAGTTCAGAGGCGGAAGATGATGACAAGATGCAGTCATCTGAGCAACTTGATTGGCAATTTGATAATATTTGGGATGCGATTCTTCCCACCCAGATGCAAATTGTTGCTCCAGTGACTGGTCTTCAGCATTGTCACGGCTAACAATCGGCAGTCAAGTGGTTGAGTGTGTTAAGCACTTAACTTACCCTGGAAGTCAGATTAGCCCAAGTAGATCAGCGGTCGACGTTATCTTTGGACGGATACAAAGAGCTTGATTAGAACTCGACAACTTACAACACCTGTTTCACTGCCGCGTTATCCCACTATAGGTTAAGGGTTCAGTGTACTGTGCTCAATTTGGCTCTATTCTATTACATGACTGCGAAGCATGCCCATTAAAAGTAGAGGATATGAGAAGGCTTCTGGTGTTTGATTGCCGTTCCCTTCGTAGCACAGGTCGTTTCATGGTGTCACCATGTTATTAACGCAGAAGTCAGGTGTAGGGTTTTATGGAGGAGAGGAAAGTCAACTGATGCGGTTGTGAACCTTCATCGACTCATGGCTGGCAAATGCGTTACACATGCGCAGTCATCGTTTTCGGTGTCGTCCAATGTTAGGTGAAGTAGGTTCAATATGCGAAATGGCTCGGGCGGCTAGACTAAAACATGATATCAGTGAACGAAGTCTGACTGTTGGTTTGAGCCATGTAGGGGAATGTACACTTCTCGGACGGGATTCATGCCATAACAGAAACCAGTGGTTGGAGACAAGGTTACGTAGCTAAGATGTTTACCAGCATTATCTTCGTCTTAATCGTCGTGCTAAATTCAGTATTTTCTCTCTTCTTTGCCCTCTTTTGATAACTTTCTACCATTTCTAACTACTTCCTTCTTAATTTCTGTATCCTTCACCTTAGTGCTTTCTCGTGTAATGTGGTGATATGAAGTCTGGCAACTTGGGCCGCTACGTTGTAATGCCGGGCCTTACGAAGATATTGTTTGCCTGACTCAGTTTAGAAACTAATTTCAGGATGAACCTATCCGAACTTCATGACGAAAATAAGTCGGTTTCCCATAAAGAGTTCGATTAGTTGCACACTTTCATCCGATTCGTGGAGTGAAAGGTTAACTTCTCACTCAGAGGAAAACCTTAACTTTTTTGAGTGGCCAGATACAGATTTGCGACGATTTTCCTAACACCGTACTGGTACGCGATATCAAGTCAATAATCCTTACCAAAAGCATTACTTCCGAAAGCGACCTAGCTGGTACTCATTCAAAAGTCATGGGGCTGCAATCTATCGCAGTTATTTGACAGCTTCCAAAACTCTAAACAACCCTGCACTCCCAAGTAATGCTGAATGCTCCCCATCTGGTCTGGGATTCTAAAAGTACTTATATACATGTATATTGTCAGTTTGAAGAGTTTTTCAGAAGCGCTACGAATATATATATATATATATATATATATATATATATATATATATATATATATATATATATATATATATTATATGGCTATTTGACATCGGCCCCCTTATCTGGGTAATTCACTTCAAAACAGAGAGTAAATAGTAGGAGTTACATTCAACCCTCTACAGTTTCGACAGTCAATTACGTGGTTGCCGAGTTACAATGAATTTGTTTAATTCACGTACTTCGTCAAAATGCATATTGGAAACGAGTTTCACAAAGTAAACCAGTTTTTTGTAAAATGAATTTGATACGTTTGTACAGACTACATAATGGTGCACTGTGACAGAACAGTGAAGACATAGGTAAATGTTACTGTCTTAGATTAGGTGCTCAAGAAGTAAAACTTCAATGAAGCTGTGATTTATTCACAACAAGTATATTTCAATCTGTACATCTCGGTCGACTATTCAAATACTCAGGATTTTGACTTCTATCGAGAACTAAACTTCGATAAGCCTCCCCCCTTATCTGATGCCTTAGTGGCCGGCGTGAAGCGATTATTTCATTCGTAATCAACCACTTATCGCCCATCTCTTAATAACCGACTTCAACTTGCTTGAAGTCTTGAGCATCGATTCACAACTTTCGTGAGGTTAGTTGATTTCTAGTTCTCATAGATCTACAAAACCGGAGAGCGCCTAGACAGCTATCAACTGATGGCCCGTCTGTAGATATAAAGCAATGCTATAATATGACAAACTTTTATTATGCATGGAGTGACCGCTAGTTTGAAAACACGAACAATATTATTCTCCGAAGAAAACGCATTCAAAATTAACCTCCATTTTTTCGTCTTCTATTGTTCAACCTGGCAAAAGTTGGGTCAAGATGGTCTTTGGATTTATTTCATTTGAGTGCAATCAACCTAGGATTCACCAGCCCCGTGAAAGCAACGTAAAACTAAGACAGATAATGAATAAGTACACCATAAATAACAATAAAAATGAAACGGACGACCATAGGTATGTATGTTGATCTCACCTTTTTCGAAAACCAAAACCAAAATTACAGAAGAACTAACACAAATAGGTATGCTAATAACAATCCGACTGATATATTTAACGGATACGTTTTACATCCTAAGTACCAGAATGATCTTTGTAATAGGTCGAAGTATCTGAGAAAATAAATGAAACACCGCACAAGCAGACTTTAGTTTACTGTTTTGATTCATAATGTTAAAGGACCAAGTAGGTCTGCTTCGTAAAACTAATTCACTTAGATACTAGAAACTAAGTTGCTACTAAAATTCGATGGTTTCATTCCTGATCTATAGACCAACCAAAATTTCTCAACAGTATTGTAACCAACATAAGATAAAAATACCACTTGCTTACCTGAATCAGAGGATATCAAAATACGAGTAGAAATATCGCGCAGAAATTGAATCCCAATGGTGAGAAACTCGATGACCAAATGAGCAAAAGTGGACAAAACTTTTCCAAGATTTAAAAAACTAGAGTTGTACAAAGGTATGTGATTGACACCTTCATCGAAAGAAGTGAATTGCTCCTTTCTATATCTTTGATACATGGAGTTAAAAATGTAGCTGACAGTATCTTTGATGCGTCCATACGTAACGAATGGAAATGATAATAGAAAATTCCAAATACTTTGCGTTTCAGGAATGATATTTCCCGCAAAAAATGTGAAGGAATGATGTGGACGTTTTGGTGCATGAACCTCAAGGTTTTTTGACTCATCAGACTCTGGAGAATAATCATTTTCTAACTCGAAACGATATCCAGTTTCAGTGCTATGAAATTCCTTTGCATATGAGTCTGCTAGAGAATAAAATGGATCTGGAGATCGAATAACTTCAATACGTAAAACACTATAGTGAGACAAAGACCAGAAAGACTTTGATATATTGTTTTGTGATGAGTAGCTTATATTCGTATTCTCAGTGTTAACTAATGGTTTTAAAGATTTTTGTATGCTATCAAATTCACTTCGCAAGTTATTCAAACAGGTTACAGGCGACTTTACGAATGTAACATGCAGATGTATGAAAACTAACAAAACGAAAACAGCCTACAAAATAAAACATGAAAATTAGGGTTACATAAATGCAAAATACAATCATGTTTTGGTTTTGAAAAAAGAAAGGATTCAACAACAAATCCAATTAAGAATTCAGTAATATTAATTATAGATGAGTGTCAATTCACCGTGTTTATCCCACAAGTCTGGAGAAATATTACACCCCTATCATGAGATCGAAATGCCAGCCTTTCAGCTGAAATATTGGGACAAAAAGCTAAGAAGATGAGGTCATTGCTTTACTAGCCATAGACTACCTAATCAAACTTTGTACCATAAAAACTACTACTCAGAGAACACAATAACAACCAAGACCATTATGTCTTAACATTAGATTCTCTAATTATGTATCAAATAGCTACACATGCTGGTAAAATGTTCAAATAAACCTTTGGTATTCCGTACAGCATAACTAGGACTTAAACATACTGAATTGTAGTCAAAACCTATAAGGTGATTATTACTACTGATTGAGAAATGAATGTAAAATGAACTCAAACCGACAGACTAGCACCTCACGTCTGTGATTCACAAGATACTCAAACAAATTTAACATCAACAAGCAGTAGGACCGAAAGTTTACTTTCTTGAATCTCAATGTGAGTTGAAGAAATGATACTAAGATCAGGGGCATCATAAAAAGAAAAGATTTACACACTGAACAAACCTTTAATCACAACAAATGTTGTCCCGTCATCTACAAGCCTCAATCAGTCAAGTCTTTCCAGCACATCTAGAACATTTGAAACAGTTGGCTCCTTCTACGAATTTGGATCATGTAATCAGTAGACAGTTTATCTGAAAAATGTGACGTAGTTGAGCGAAATATTTCGAACAACCTGATCACACATTTTCATATGGCATTTTACTCAAAACTGGACATAGAAGCACAAATATCATAATAAAGAAAGTAAAAATAAGAAGCTTAATGAAGAAACAATCATAAGTTTTAAAACGAACCTAGGTAAAAGGTTGAAACAAGCATTGCCAGGGTAGGTTTAACTTCCCAGGAATACTGTATTCGAAAATACAAGGGGCTTCAATTTATGCATGGCTGGCGCTTCAACAAAGTTAAAAATATGCCCCCAATATGGCGCAAAGCCCGTTTTCGTATCGTGCCTATGACCTTTATCAATATTCTTCTAATAAATGACGATAGCTGTAAGAGCTACAACAAGTGACAGACATATAAGCAACCATGAAAAATGTTTTTAAGAAAAAAGATATTCGAAGGGAATTCTCAACACGTATAAACATGTAGTACATTGGTTTAAACCCTGCCTGGTTAACTAGTTCACAAGTTACTAGCCAGTCCTAAGACCGGGTAATGAGGGAAGGTTGGGCATACGCCTAGAAACTATACCCCGCAAAATCAAATCCAATCGCTAAAGAAACTCCGAAGCACAAAGAAATACAAAAAATAACAATAAACTTATTCCTCCCTGGATTCGGAGAAACAAAATGACGCCGGTCGGTGAAAGACTTCGGAAGCCAATTGGCCGACGTGTCTTCTCTCATTGGAAGCGAGAGAAGGGATGGGGACATTCCATGTCCCCACCACGCATAAACCTAGCAACGCTCCACAGAGTGCAAAAGAGATGAGAAGATATAGCATAGAAGTGCTAGGAATCTCTGAGAGCAGATGGAATGGAAGTGGACTCACCAAACTGTCAACTGGAGAGTCAATAATCTACTCCGATATCGTCACCCACACGACAACCACGAGCACACTGTGTTTTGGACTGGCTATCATGATGTCCCCCTCCCAACAGCATCGAAGGCTCTCCCTCACGCAGTGAGAACCAGTCTCCTCCACGATCAGAATCACGACAAGAAGGTTCAACTCAAAATCAAGGAAAGTTGCAATCATACAATGCTACACGCCTACAAACAATGCAGATCAAGAGAAGAAGGAGGAATTATACAGACAAATGCAATCAGTACTAGACAAGACTCCACCCCAGTTGGCGATATCAAATTCCTAATGGGCGACTTGAATGCCAAACTCGTAGCAGACAACACAGGAAGAGAACTCATCATGCGTCGAGAGGCACTCTGTGAAATGAAGAATGAGAATGGAGAACTGTTTGCAAACCTCTGCGCCTTTAATGATTTGGTGATTGGAGGCAAGGCAGTGTGCACAAATACAGGGATATTCACAAAGCGACATGGATTTGATTTCACCAGACACCACGATACACTACACACTAAAATCAGACCGAATTCATTTCAATGTGAAGTGGAGACGCAGCCTACTGGACACGAGATCAGATCAAGAAGGGGAGCAGATGCAGGCTCATACCACCCACTATCTAATGCAACGAACCTACCTTCGAAAACAAGTTGAAAGCCCTCAAAGAAGAATTTCGCGGTAGACCACAGTTCAAGTTGAACACCCAGAACAGAAAGTGAACTGATGGACGAAACTGTAAACGACATCTTCACGTCACCCAGCCATCAGGACAAAATGGGAGACATTAGGCAACATCCCTGAAGGAACCTGCGTGGAAGAACATTGGAACTCTTTGAAAGCTATGTGGAGAGAAACTTGCATAACCGTATTAGGAAGGAAGAAGAAGAAACAAAACAATGAGTAGATCTTGACGGACACATGGAAACTGATAGAGAAGGGAGAGGAAGATGAAACAGTGCAAGGATGAACATCGAAAAGAGGAACTGAGGACAACGTATAAAACACTGGACAAAGAGTGCACGCAGAGACAAAAGACACTTCTACGACACATTTGCAAGCGAAGCAGAACAGGCCGCTGGTAGGGGAGACCTGACAACACCATATCAAATAACCAGGTTACTACCCGGGAAGAGATCAACGCAGACGAAACCAATGGAAGATAGTGAGGGAAACCTAGTTACCATCAAAGAGGAGAAACAAAGGAAATGATTGGCTGACCACTTCAAAGTACTCTTGAATCGACCACCGTCACCAACTGAAACTCGTTCAGAAAAACCACCACCAACGGCAGAACTACGAGTGAACACAGGCCCTCCGACAGGAGCAGAAGTCCTGAATGCCATAAAACTTCCGAAATCTGGCAAAGCAGCAAGACCAGCTGGAATTCCTCCAAAAGCACTGAAAACAGACACAGAGACAACAGCGGACGTGCTCATATCACCACTGTAGAAGGTTTGCAGATTGCTAAACTCCCAAAGAACGGGGGCCTAAGCCTTTGCAAGAACTGGCGTGGAATCATGCTGCTGTCCACACCAAGCAAAATATTATGCCGCATCATCCTGGGGAGACTAAAGGATGCGCTGGATTCAAAACTACGACCGGAACAGGCTGGCTGGCTGGCTTCAGGAAGTACAAATTATGTGCCGATCAAATTGCAACGCTACGTATGCTACGCATCATCATAGAACAGAGTATAGAATGGCAGTCACCTCTTTACCTCAACTTCATTGACTTTGGAAAGGCCTTCGACAGCGTCGACCAAGAATTGATTTGGCAGTTGTTTCAACACAATGGTTTTAATGTCACAAACCTTTATCAAACCCATTCAACAGCTATTTGATGAGATGATGCTACATGCCAAGTGATTCACAATGGAAAGCTCAGGGACGCCTTCGAAGTGAAAACAGGAGTAAGACAAGATTGCCTACCATCACCGATGATCTTCCTGATTGTGGTCGACTGGACTGGACTGGATCGTACAACAAACTGCGAAGAGCGAGATGGGCATACGCTGGCTGGACCGATGAAAAGACCCTAGAACACTTGGATTTCACCGCCGATGATCATTTATGTCTCATGTCTTGTCGCACAAACTCGGAGATCAACGGACGAAAACCTACAAGTCGACACAAGAGGCAGTGAAGGAGAACGGGAATTCAAGTGAATGTAGAGAAGACAGGGGTGATGAAGCTACCCAACCAAAAGCAACAAGCACTAATCACCATCAACAGGAGAAACCTAAACGAAGTTATCTCTTTCACCTACCTCAGCAGGCAGCATAGTTTCAACTACAGGCGGCACAGACGAGGATATCAAAGCCAAGACAGCAAAAGCAAGACAGGCTTTCACTAATCTGAAATCAGTGAGGGGATCTACTGCACTCAGCATAACGCGTGAACAAGATCCGGATTTTCAACGCTAATATCAAGTCAGTGCTTCTATGTGGCTCAGAAACTTGGTGTGTCACGAAAAGCATTTCCAACAAACTACAGACATTCATGAACAGCTACCTACGCTCGATGCTGTAGATCAGATGAGAAGGAGAGAAAGAATAAGCAACTAGGAACCCTGGGTGACATGGAGATCGTGCGAGAAAGAAATGGAAGCTTGTGGGAAGTCACAGAGCCAGGTTCAAAAGACTGCAGAGAAGAGAGTGAAATGGAGACGGGCTACTGAAGCCCTATGTTCCACTACGAACCTATGGGACAAATAATAAATAATGATAATGCTGGCTTAGAAAACTCAAACCTCAGAGGTAGGCTTCTTCACTGTACCACACGCCAACGGTAACTCAAACGTCACACATAAAGCCAGCTCCCCATACCTTATACAAACGCCTTGCTGCTAACTGCCAACCAGCACAAAAAACAGGTACACAGCTCCTTGACCAACCTATACCAATCAATGTGCACCGCCATGGTTAGTTTCCTAATCTCGCCACATCTTGAAATCACCTTTACGGTTTGCTCACCACTCATCAATACACATGAAATTTCCTAACCTCCAGTAGCCAACTAATGTGGCTGATTCTCTATTATAGGTAGCGAATCCACGCATAAATACCTCAGCAGCCTGCTTTCTTACAGCACCATAAGCTTACGTCACGCTAAGTGCCAGTATTTTTCTGGTGTAGGTTAATGTTCCCGTAACATAGGATAAAAACCTGAATACATATAGACTGTATTTCGAGCAAACTAATTTTGTTTTAACTAGTATTGGATTTCTTTCCATAATTTTATCAAAGGTGATAACTTATACCGGTGCACTTGTTTGCAAGGTTTCTGGTGATGAGATACTACGAGAACCATATTAGTCTGAAGTATGAAACAGTGAAGAGTTCGGTTAAAATAGAAGCCTTTCCATCGTGGCTTCTACAATCAACCCTTATTCACTGGATAGCCTTTTAAGTATAGATTTACTTGTTAGTCACAGCACTAGTTCAGTCCTACAGACCTGCGCACAAAATGTTTGCATCGATCGCCACGCACTGACTGAATGATGACAATGCAATAGCATAATTAACTTCAATGAAAGCTTACCTGTAAAAGAAATCCAAACTCAATCACACGCCGAGCAGTCACAGAAAACACACGAATATAACCAAGAGCCACTCGTCGAAAGAATACATCCAGTAAGTGAGCACGAGTATCCACGATATTATTTCTCAAAGTTATAGGAGGCATTTGATTTAAAGTTCTACTAGCTGCATGACCAATATCCATAGGGATGAAACAAAGCGAATAAAGGCAGTCAATGCAACTAACTGAAAATGAAATCAGAAAATGGTGAAAGAACTAAACAACTAAACATGATCAATTACATAACCATTGAAGTTATGAAGTCACAACGAATAAAGCGTCAAAAAAGGAATCGTGATACCACGTCAGTAGCGCAGAAGTCACATGTAGAGGTAAGATGGTTGATGCGGTTGTGAACCTTCATCCACTGAGATGGCTGCAACATGTGTTACATAGGCCTAGTTAACGCCTACCTCGTCATAAAATGTTGGCCGAAGTAGGTTCAGTCTGGAAAAAGGCTCGAGGCTGCCAGACTAAAACATGGCATCAAAGTATGAAGTCCTTGACTGCTCGTTTGAGTCATGTAGGGCGACGCAGACTAGCCGGTTGGGGTCCGCAGGACAAGAGAAACCAGTGGTTGGAGACTCTACGTGATATGGCTCAAAACCGATGTCAGTCGCACAGATGTATACACACATTATCCTCACACTAACCGCTATACTTGATCTCATTTTCTCATTCCCTCTTGCCATTTTTTACCACTTCCTACTTATTTTGAGCGATTTTTCTTTATTTTATTGGCTTGCTACTGGATGTGATGATATGAAGTGTGGCAACTTGGACCGTTACGCGGTAATGCTTGGTTCTATGTTGATCTTCATGACGATGCAAGCATGTGAACGTACTTCTAAACACAATGAATCACAGATATATTCAAGTTATGAAGTCACAACGAATAAGGCGTCAAAAACTGAATGCAGGAAGTTAACTTTTACCGTATGCATTGCTCAAAGCCTCCACATGAAATCGACTGTGGGGTCTTAAGAGACTCGGAATGAGCTTTCGATGGCCTAGATTGTTGGCAATGGTTGCAGATTTAGAGACTTGTGAAAGTATAAGAGGCCTAGTTTTGGCATCAGGACGTGAAGCCAAAGGAGAAGACAGAGTTGGAAGGATAGGTTATGTTCTATTGGGTTCCGTGTACTACTGGAAGCGGGAGATCGGTCCACACTTACCGGCTGCCCACACAGTAGAAGGCTATTTCTTCTTAAGGTACCTGACATAGAAATGGATTTCTGTGACCACAGGGCCCATGAGACATCTGATTGAGGCCGGTCACGTACGGCCCTTTTGATGCCACGACAACTGGCTTGTAGTATGGGAGACGTAGTTGGACACAAGTCCTGTGGTTTTGGATTACCACCAACTGGTGACTGATCTAAGCCACCTTAATACATCATCTCCTGGTGTCAGAGGTAACTGCTTCTTGTCTAACCACTATCCAACAGACATTTCTGGTATGGTAGGACGGACCTCGAGGGAACAAGTGTTCCACCAGTATAGCCCATTGGGTCACCGTGATATACAAGCCCGACCACAACAACAAGGTAGCAGATATCAGTAGCGATCTACACCACTGGAATCGACCGAAATCAAAAACCGATTGTATGTGTGACGAGATTTCGTTGGTCACTGATACAGATGAGCTGATCCGGTAGGTGAAGCGATCAAAGCGCCAAATCATATCACCCCCTTATTGTAAGACAACGCACCAACGTAGACCAGTTCTGAAGCGACAATTCGCATTCGGGTAGCAAGAAACGCTCCCCAAACATACTGAATTTTCGCGTCAATGTGACCGTAGAACCAGAACTTTTGTCAGCGTCTTTACTTAACTGGACTATGTCATCTGCGTACTCTCAACTTACTAAAGAGTCTATTGTGAAAAGAGTCAAACTAAAAGAGGGAGACTTTCAGTCACGCTCATCGAATCGCTACACAATTGAAGTGTCTGTTGTCGAAAGGAGGTTTCAATTTAAGTGGGTCAGCAATGATCTTTCGTTGTTCTAGGTCAGTGCATATCGAAGTGGCTAACACGTTAAACACCGATTCCCTCTTATGTGCCTTTAATCCACTCATTGCACGGAGAGGATGTTCAAAACATGTATGGCGCTGAAGATGACTTGAAAGAAGCTAAGGCTGCATGGATGGCTACGAACCTCACAACACGTGAATGAAACGTGATAGTCAACTCCCCTAGGCCCAGTCACAGAGCAAAGCGGGAAAGAATCATCCAAACAATCAAAAGATTCTGATGATTACTTTAGAAGACCAGACGATAACGAATGAGATAATACACACGACACTAGTTGAAAATGACAGAGAAATTAACGACCATCCCTACGAAAGAACCAGCAGCACATCAACATAATCCGTCGTTACTTACTCAAAACACACTGCTCCTTCCGAAGGGCAACGAGTTAACTGATGCGGAAGACACTAACCTTACTACCAAATATAACAAATGGTCACAGAATCAAAAACTACATAATCTCCTTCACAAAAAGTAGCCGGAATTTTATCCTCCAACACCCATCAACATCGCAGTAAGGGCTGAAAATGAACCTGAAAGAAGACAGTTTACTTCTATTCGAGCTAGATTGTCCACGAGGACACTGATGAAAGGCAGTCTTCCTAAGTCCAAGGGAAGACCTTAGCCAACCCTCAGAAAGTGGCTAGAAAGGGTCAATCGATCTAATTAGCTTCTTCAGAATTAATGGATGCATGCAAACGTATTCCTGCAGGCTCTGGGAAAAATGAGGAGTGCACTCAACTCAAATGCAGACTGACAACAAATCTATGCAATAGCCACGAAAAGTGGTGGGTAGCAAAGGCTAAAGGGACGCAAAAGGCAGCAGCGACAAGTAACAGTAGACACTTGTTTACCCTAATCAAGGAAACTGGGGTGAAAAAGTCAGTCTTCAGTGGGACTATAGAAGAGAAGGATAGATCTGCGATTGACTCCCAGGATGAAGACTTGGATGATGGGCGGAACACTTCGAGGAACAGTTCGATAGGCTTCCAGCTACTATTCCTTCGCCCAACATCTGGTCGAATCCTGAATGGAACATCGAGATAGAACTCCGAACACATACGGAAGTCAAGATAGTAGAAAGTCACTTGAAACAAGAAAAACCAGTACAGCAAGACGGACTAGTACTAAAGGTATTTGAAGACGGTGACAGAGGATTATTGGTCAGATTAACTGAAGCGTTAGCTAGTGTGTAGAAGTCAAACATGATCCCCTCTGACTGGTCTCGATCACCGATTGTCCCAGTCTTGAAGGGAGGCGAGAAGTCCTCTTGTGATAGCCACAAGGGAACAAGTCTGACAAACTGTCTATTGGGGCTCGTCAACACCAAACTTCGTTGGAAGTGCATCAACCAGATATTTACTCTCTACCAAGTTCTGGAGAGCAAGCAGGCTAAGTGTGCACTGTAATTTGCTGTGGTTTTTGATCAAGAGACAACGGTTTACTCTGACGATTAAATAAACTTATGGCAGTTTCCCTCATTAAGTCCGGCAGCCTGTTGTACGCCTTGTATTCGAATGCGCGTTGGCGTGGCACAACCTATAGCAATCTCAGTGCTAGTGACTACATCGTCAGATACTGTTAACCCCCTTCTTTACGTCATCAGTAATATCAACATAGCACCCCACATGACTGAGTGACGGTCCAATTTACCATGCCTCATATCATCACATCAAGCGATAATGTACTAAAGTGAAAATTGAAGAAATAAACTAGAACTGGTCAAAAGCCGTTAAAAGCGGGAAAAGAGGAGGAATAAGAAAACGCGGAATTCAATACAGCGATCACAATACAGAATGGGTAAATCTGTGTCGCTGACATCGGTTCTCAGCCATACCACCTAGTCTCCAAATACAGGTTTCTGTTGTCAAGTGGACCCCACCGGCTAGTTAGTATCTCCCTATATGGCTCAGACTGACAGTCAACGGTTTTATGCATTGACGCCATGTTTAGTCGGACTGCACCTAGCCTTTTTCCAGACTCAAACCTACTTAACCTAACATTGCACGACGAGGCAAACAGTGACTAGGCATGCGTGTCGCATGTCCCAGACACCTGAGTCGATGAACGTTCACAACTACATAAAGTGAATCTGTCTTTCTCCTAAATATATACATCCGACCAGTGGTGACAGCACGACAAGCGGTCTATGCTACGAAGGCAACTCGTCAGACCTTCTACACCTCCCTACACGGCTCAGACTAACAGTTAGTGACTTAACGGACAAGTGCCACGTCTTGATATCACCATTTACAGCCTTCTTCCCACCCGACCCCACTGAGGCCACCATTGCACTTCGAGGTAGAAATGTGCAACAAATGTGCAAGCTATCTTAGTCAATGACGGCTTACAACCTCACTGACTGGCATACCTGCCTTGCCTGATACCCTTCGCCTGACCTCTCCCTTACTCATACAGTGATTTCACCACGCGTAAAAAAGCTACGAAGACAACTATGTTAAGAAACCTATAATCTCTTCACATCTTTCGACGGGTCTCAACCGTATAACAGAATAGGCTAAACTGCAGTGCAGTCTACTCACCTTCTAACAGGTGGTCAGATATCTTCCCAAATTGGTGAATGCCAAACTAGCCCCCTGTATCTGAGCTGAGATGTCACTGACATTAAACTATAGCCCGGGTCTATGCAATTCTTTAGGTGAACAGAGTCAAATTAGTAGTTGCAGATCAGTCCTGAAGACAGCTGGCTAGCTGTCTACGCTAGCACAAAAGCCACATATATAGACGTGCATATTTATGCGTATACATGAATAAGACTTGCAAGTTTTCTTCGGAAAACGCATATCTAAATATGAAACTAGATCTTGCTAGTTCTACAGTATTACGGAAAGTTGAGTGTCACTCCGAGTAGCTCAAGCTCATCAAGAACATTCGATGCTACAGAAATTGCCACAGGATGAGAATCATTCAGAGACATGCCACTGCATTGGTGGCTGGTTTGCGAAAACCGTCCTGTGATAGATCATGGCCAGTCTTGCGCGAGACAAGCTATTCTCAGTCTTATCGTTCGACAGGATCGTGATATTAGGGAATCGCAACCTAACGATGACGTCAAGATAATTTACTGATTTTCTCACCTCATCAGCGATTAATCGCATCTAACAGCAACAGAAGAAAACCTAAAAGCCGCGGTCGAAACAACTTTGCGTATGCAGACGAATATCATACGGTCGACGATTATAATTCCGAATCCAAAAAATAGTCACATCTTTTAACAAGTGCACTCAGCGAAAACTAGATCTTCGCAAAGAAACTTACAGAAAAGAATCACAGGTTTAACAGACCCCGTCTCCTTATCATAACACAAATTAGGGTCAATTCTCCCATTTTTACGGAGGTGTGCGCACTTCAAGGTCATCCATCTAGAACCCAATTGGTGTTTCACCGAGAGGAAAGGAGAACCTACTTGTAAGCGCTAAATTAACACATGAGTGTGCATTCACACACCTCAATAAGTCGTATCGAAGCTTATTTTCATAAGCCCTCACAATTCATTTTATCGACCACACCCAGTAGAGAAGCTGGTTGACTTGTCTCAGTCAGAGGTTGCCCTATCAACAATTTCGTTGGGTTAAAAAAGGCAACATTCGGCCAAGTGTCGGTCTGTGGGCTTTACGCGTGGCCAGATGTTGTGCACACGGAGCCAAACGTTAAACCACTGTTTTACTCGGGCCAAATGTAGGGCCAATAATCAGTACGCGGGGCCAGACGTCGTGCTGTCTGTAAAGTCTAAGGGTCAGAAGTAGGGAAAATGATGCGAGACCCCAACTCTGACCTTACATGTAGCCTGACATTTTCTATGTTGGCTGGCCTAACATTGCTCCACTTTACAAGATGAAAATCACTGGATTGGTGTATGTTTAATGATATAATGGCATCCCAGTGATCGAGTCATGGGGAATACCTTGAGTCATCCCTGCAAGAGATGAACTGGGTGAAACTTAGTTTGCAGAAGTTCAGTACAAATACATTTATAATAAATTAGTTGGCAGAACTAAACTTTAATGATCGGAAACCTTAAGGAGGACTAATCAGGTTGCAGATGTCGTTTTCAAGGTCATTACTTCTCGTCTATTGACTGTACCAACAATAACACGAGTTATTGATGCTGTATAACCTGCCAGTGAAATACAACGAAGATTTTTCTGTCAGCTATTTGCAGAGTTGGATTGTTAGCGACATTGATAAATCATGAATAGGATGATGAAATGAACCACGTTCCAAAGGTAAATATGAACGAGAAGGACATAAGCAGGACTTGGTGTAACACACATATTATTCTAAAAATCATATACTGTTGGTGCAAAGGATCGAAATGTGAAAGAATAGGATTTTCACGACATGAATGGCATGTCACTATGCCGTCCTGGGGACAACCTGCATAAATAGTGGACTACTAAGATATTTTTCCTCCGACGTTACTTTTTCCAATTTTTCCCCTTCTATTTGCTTCAACCCTTCAGATAAGTCTTCTAGACGCATCATGCGATCTTGCACTGCTTTGAAACGGTTTCAAACTCTCCTTTCTTATGCCAAAAACGATACATAGGAAAAACGTTACGCCAAGTTGAAATAGACAAATTGATGACTAAAAATACAATTTTTGTGTTAGCTGGTTGAAATGCCACCAGCATGGCTTTTTATTCACCCACGATCCCGACAAGACACCTATTTCGAATCGGTGCCCTCAGTTTCGCTATTATTGGCACTATCCGGGAGCGAAGCTTATTTCTTTTTAAAATGTCCTATAAGGAAAGCAGTTGTCGGGACATTTCCTGCTGAAAATTCAGTAATTTGTTCGGAATAAAGCGATTATTGTCGTATCATTCCTCTCATTACTATCGTCTGTCATAACACTACTGCAGGAACTTCGAGTTTTAGCCCAAGCATACTACAAGCTGAAGATCAGATGGCCAGAAAAAATAAGCAACAAGGAACTCTGGGAAGGAACCATCCAAGAAGCTATCACGCAGCAAATATGCAGGAGGAAGTGGAGATGGATTGGCCATGCACTGAGAAGGCCGACTGAGGACATCACGCGTCAGGCCCTCGAGTGGAATCCCCATGGGAAGCGACGAGTTGGACGTCCGAGGGTGACATGGAGGAGGTCATGCGAGGAGGAAATGAGAGCTTCTGGGCTGTCGTGGAACCAGGTTCAAAAGATCTCAGAGAACAGAGGTCACTGGAGGCGTGCTACTGAAGCCCTATGTTCCACTAGGAACCCAAGGGACTAATAATAATAATACTACAAGCGCAATCACCAAGTTCTGGTGTTGTTCTGAATTCCGCGATTATTTTCATTGGTACTTCCCATTTAATGGATTTCTTGCATGTGAAGACGTCCTACAATAACACATGAGCCATATAAATCATTGCATCACAAAAAAGATATCCTATATATCTGTATATCCCGGTGAAAATTTTCGTCTTGTAAAGTGGAGCAAAGTTAGGCCAGTCAACATAGAAAATGTCAGGCTACATGTAAGGTCAGAGTTGGGGTCTCGCATCATTTTCCCTACTTCTGACCCTTAGACTTTACAGACAGCACGACGTCTGGCCCCGCGTACTGATTATTGGCCCTACATTTGGCCCGAGTAAAACAGTGGTTTAACGTTTGGCTCCGTGTGCACAACATCTGGCCACGCGTAAAGCCCACAGACCGACACTTGGCTGAATGTCGCCTCTTAAGACCCAACGGAACTGATGAATTGACATGTTGAACACCCTGAAAATTAGGACTCACTGTCGTGACCGTCGTCATCTTCACGCAGCTACGTGAAACTGACAGTTACTGGAGACGGTGGACAGCGCCATATTTCTTCAGTGACCCTGAAGATATACTGCAGACACCTTTTAATGACAGTTTTCTGGGTCTAATTCCATTTACGTGCACAACTGTCACCTTCTAAATAATTCTATGCGTGGAGTCGTGGCATATTCTATAAATACTGGATGTGATCACCGAAAGCACTAGACCTTCTCTTATTACATTGAAACTTGTCGCTGGTGGCCGGGAGTTCTTATTCGTGAAACCACGAACCAGGATAGTGAGATGACGTTTCGTTTGAGGTATTTGGTACACTCGAGTTTCTTATGCGTTGGGGATATTGCATTTCACTTTTCTTCAGTAAATTGCTGCGTTCCCCTTTATTTACCACATGCTGCTTGTGTAGTGTCCCGATTCTGCTTACCGAACTTTATGTTTCCCTTAATATTCTTCCCTTCAAGATAAAATAGCATTCTGTCAACCTTCTGATGCTACTCAGACATTTGTGGTTATTGGAGTTGGCGAACCCAACCCCTTGCAAAACCTAGCAACCTTAGGTTACAGAATAAGGCATTGAAGCTGTAATTCGTGCAAGGCTCCTCATTCGTTTCCTAGTGTCTCTTTGAGCAAAACATCGGTTTAGCGTGAGCCAGGTAATATTATATTCATACTGGAGAGTGAAAACTAAGCATGAGCCCAATGCACAGATACTAGGCAATTAAGCTTGAGACTTCTTCAGTTATTTATAAATAAGCAGCGCCAAGTCCTGCTTCATACTACCGGTCGCCATGAATTCCTTCCAGTAGTCATAGTAAGTTCAAGCTCAATATTAGCTTGGATTAGCCGCTTGATCCCTTCGATTTTCTAATGGTAAAAAAATGAATAACTGCCTGCAAGGCAAACTGCAACAGTTTTCGCTGGTACTGGAGATGCCTGTTTTGGACGACGTCAGGACAGCCGGTGGACCTGTCGCTTTCTGTCTATCAAAGGAGCATACAATTTGATATGCAGTCCTCTGCATCGTCTGTCGGACGAAGGTGAATCAAGCTAATGCGCGCACTTTGGTAGAAGAGGTATGGTGATTCCACCCTGAACTACGGGCAGGTACACGAACGGTGATGGGGACCCAGGTCGATCCTAGTCTGGAATCTAGATTAACCCCGGTCTTCGTCATCAGCTACAAAGTCGGCCTAGGTAGGAACAAAAATATGTGGCAAAGCGAACACTTTCGTTCGGGTTTAACGTAGACGGGGCCCAACTTGTAGTGGACTCTGGCATGTAGATGTGGACGATTATGGGAAGACTAAAAGCCACTGAAGTTAGTTGTGTTTTTATTAGGTATCCATTTTAGTCCATGTAAACCATCAGATGTTCAAGATCTCTTAAGGGACATTGCCGCTGGACTTCAGTTCATGAATAAGACCGGTCTTCAACCAGGCGACGGTTTCACGGCATCAGTGGTGCTGAAAAACGTTATTTATGGTGTTCCTGCTAGGTCTCATGTCAAGTAAATATCGGGACACAATTATGTCATGCTCGGCCAAATGTAGGTTTTCTGCACTTAGCTTTCGACGTCAAGCTGACAGATCATCACAGAGAGAAGTCCCCTCCAGAGAAATTAAGTATTAGTATGAATGAAGCATCTAAGTGAACACAATGATTTTTTCAATAAAGGAGTGGTTCTGAAGATACTTGGAATGCGGAAACGTGTGGCTCCATCTGGGGAGGATGATACGAACGGTGACACTTTTCACCAAATAAACGGTCGATTGTTATACTCTCATGCAGTCACACTATGTGAATTTCAACGGGTGCCAATTGCTGGCGGGAGCCATTGAGTGGTAATCGACAGACTATCGCCAGTTCCTTTTTTATTTAGGTGTGGTATGTTTGAGGGGTAGTCTACCTAACTGTATGATCTTATTTGTAGGTGTTTACTCACTAAGTCACCCGGACCACGAACATCATCACCTTGAAAGTGACGCTTAATAAGTTTGTTTGCAGCTTTCGTATAATTTTAGATGCAGAAAATATGGCTTATAACGATTGTAAGCCACTGCGCATGTGCACTCCCATTGCATCAAACGTATTTAATTCCATAGCCAATCATCATCAGCTAGTGAATCATCAGACTTACCTCATTTCACTGCCGTTCCATAGGTTCACCGTCACCTCCATAATTAGCCATAGTCGTACTGCAACCATACAGGAGCAAACAAGCGGCTGTCAGAGGCTGTCAAAATCATAGAAGGCGGCTTTTCAGAGTAACGTAGCCATTTGACAGATGGAAAATTCGATAACCCGCTCATCCCACAGGTTGCTTGCACAAGCAGGTCACCACAGTGGATTCAGAGGAGTTGCTATAGGGCTCCGAAACATGGCTTACTGATACCGGTTTGCGAATGCAGGAGTTTGATCATGAGTTGAGTGACCCTGGATATCACCGTGTGGCGTCACAGGGGTTGTCCAGTCTGGTAGACTCAGGCAGTGATGTGTCCGCCCGCTGAACAATGGAAGCGCTACTGGAAGCCAACTTCAGCTTGCGGTACTCATGATCATTAACGCAAAACAAGCGACCACAGAGGAAAACG